TCCACAACTAAACAGCGCAGAGCTCTACTGTTGAACTAGTACTAGATGTAGCCCGCTTCGGTTGTGTCAGGTTCAGTTCAGTGCCGTTCCATTTACACTCAACAGTTATCTTGGTTACCGTGCTCGCACCGTTCTCAGCATGGTTTTAAAAGGGTAGAGTAAATGCGGCAGATAATGTTTTGTTTCATCATACCATAATTGTCTTAGGTGCTTTTGAAACTGGGCTTCTAGGCATCTCTCTAGGATTCTTTCGATCTTCAGCTGCAGAACAAAATTTACAGACTACAGTTGCTCAATAACAAAAATATATGATAAAAGGTCTTCATTATTAATTAACCTTGGGAAGAGTCTCTTTTTTATATTTGGACACACAAGTAAAATTACTTATATGTCCTTTAGACTACGAGTTCTTTATTAACCTTGTAGACATAAATTATCTTAATTTATCTGAAATCCATATAAAGATGAAACATGCTGGATCTAACCAGATGTCCCAACACATCTATACCCTGATTATGGTCGATAAAAGATTAAAAAGGGACCAGCCTGAAAGGGTGATAGCAACATAAACATTACAGCTCCATTTCTGTCATCCCTATATTTCCATCTTCCATCAATATGTTCCTCCGGGGTCTTGTGTTGCCACATCAATCAAGAGAACATTAACTTCCTTTTACACATTCGTCTTGCAACATAAATTAAACTTTGTTCCCAATTATTCACTGATGGCAGCTTGATGGCTCATGTACCCATACCTACATACTGTCAGCCTTTAAGGCATTTATCAAACAACAAAAGAATACAAACAACAAAAAAATCTAAACTCTACTGTTCAAAGAGCAGAAGAAAAAACAATCTGCAATCAGTATACAGCAAAAATGAGGAAAACATTTTACAAACTGATAAAGGTTTGGTTTCACAGTTAGAACTTCCAAACCATACATCATTAATTGTTCTAAACTTTCTGATTAATAAAAAAATACAAATAATAATAGTAACATGCACTAAAGTAGTGCTGGCAGCTCATTCAATTCTTCGGAAGCTATATCAGATGGTATACAAAGCAGCAGAGCATGGAAATCTTTATGTTCCCATCGGAATGCTCTGAAAGGCTATAGTCCCAGGCTTAGGGCAGGACTTTGCTTAAAGTCAGTTTAGTACCATTCCTGCAGTATCATAGTATCAGCTGCAATGTTTGTTCTATTTCAGTGCCACATCTTACATTTCATATCCTCATGTTTCATATCCTTTGCATCAGAACTATTTATCTTTGTCCTAACCTCTGGAGTATTTAAAATGTCGTCTGATTAAAATATAGAGAAAGTAGCACTAGATGCTTCAATCTAAAGCATTGTCTGACTGCCTTTTGGTTCTAAATCATCTACTTAGCCCCACTTACTATGCACACTATTTCCTTTGGCATATTTTCATCTTTTAAATATCATCTAACACCCATGTGGCACTGCTTCCCAGTGAAAGAGAAAGCATGAACAGTATTCACTGTGTTACAGAGCTGTCTCTTACCAGGGATGAAGCTCAGAGGTAACAGGAACACTTTGTTTCTGATTGTCCTTCCAGTAGATTAAAATGCAAAGGGGCAAAATGTCAAGAGAAAGCCACCCCTCTTGCTATTTGACCAGCACTTTTATTAGTAATTGTTTTTTTTGTTAGAGTGGAACATTTTGTAATGCTGTACGTGCTCTTACAACCATGAACAATGCCAGTAGACTGTAAATATTGAGTATATGCGTCAATCGGATAATGTCTCAATTCTTTTCTTCCAGTTTTGTTTTCTAATTTAATTTCACTTTGGATCTTATTCCAATACTAGAATTTGGGTATATGCATATTCAGATACTTTTTCTAATACCAGAGCTCTGTCTACTGTAATGTTTTATTAATGTTGAATTTTTAAGACTCTGTCATAAAGTCCTTTCTACAAGCAAGTATGATATGTATGACTTTACATATGTATATTCCAAAAGGCAACTTGAGATTAGAAATCAGAAAATGAAGTAGTTATATTAAATTATAAGTTTATTGCTTATTATTTATTAGTGTTGCACTGATACCAGTATCGGACGTGACCGTGATACTGACTAAATGGTATCGGTATCGGCAAGTACCAACAAACTGGGCACGATACCATTTTGAGAGCCAAAATTTTATTCAACTATCGTCACCCATTTCAGGTAGGCAATAAAAAGTTCTACTGGATTCACTTTGTATTAGTCTTTTTCTTGCCTCACAAAGGTTCCCAGCAGCTTGACAAAGTCATGATAGCAATTATTTTACATCCAAGTAGTATGCAGTTCTTCATATATACACACACACATCAATTTCAAACAGATGGTATCGGTATACTGCACAGGTATCAGGTATCGGCATCGGAGCCAAAAAAATGCCATTGGCCCAACACTAAATTATTTTAGTTCCTTACTAGCTACCACTTAGTGTTGTTGGTATTTTTCGTGGGGTCTATATGAGGAAAAAAAATGCACCAATGGCATAGACTTTACAGAAATAAATAGAAATAGAAAATAGAAATAAGAAATCGAATCAAAAATGCAAAATGACACATTAGCCCATGAAAATCTTACAATAATAAAATATTAATCACTATATAGAAAATCCCTTTATTGTCCCACAATGGGGAAATTATATATCATTATAATTCAACATATTTTTTTATCACATATATAGATGTAAATTGCCACCACTGGACAGTAATACTCACTTTAGTCCCATTACCTTCACCAAAGAAGTTATGTTTTTAGGAGAATTTGTGTGTTTGTGTGTCTGTTTGTGTACAGAATAACTTGAAAAGTTATGGATGGATTGTAATTGAATTTTAAGTCAGAGGTGTCCCTTATGCAAAGGAACAATCCATTATATTGTTTGTGATTATCCAGATCATAATCTGGATACAGGATTTTGAAAAAAGATTGTTCAACATTGTGGGATTGGAATATTTGGTTTACAAGTAGTTCCCCACTAAACCAGAGAGTAGCAGCAGTGACTATTGACAGCCTCAGCATCAGAATCAGAAAGTCTGCAGGTAGTAATATATATATATATATATATATATATATATATATATAAAGTTCTAAGACTTGGTTAAATACACTTAAATATGATCCCATTCATTTAAAGTCAATGACCACCTGATCTTGATATATCAGGACTGATCTTTCCTCCAGTACTGGCACAGGGTCAGGGAAAGGCTACCCAACATCTCAACTCTGAATAAAAACTGTTTAAGGTTTTTCACCCTCAGTTTGGCACTTAAAAACACTTTTTACAAAATGCAGTCATTACACAGGCATACACACTAATTTACAAAATAAGTCATTTTATTTTTTGTGCCTTAAATGTCATCATTGACAAATTAGTGGAAATGAAGTCAGATTCCTTGTTTGTGCACAAATTTGGCCTTTAAAGCCAATGAACTTTGAGTTAAGAGAGAATAAATATTCCTCTTCCCACAAGTTAAAGATGCACATGTCAGGCTAGCACACCAAGTAGTGGTTGTTTTCTGGTGGCTATAAATGTAAGTTTTGCTTTTTTTTCTAAACATGCTACAATACTAACATTCAGAAATGGGGTCTTTTTGTTTTGGTTTAATTTCATTAAGATTGTCTGCAGTCTTGCATCATTCATTTGGTTTGGCCTGCATTGATATATTTTTGCCTATTAATATGATTTTGTTATTTTTATTTCTGACTGTGAAATGTTTTCACACATGCATATTTTCTCCCTATCCAGAGAAATATTTGCATGCAAGTTTGCACCTGCCTATGAAATGTGCTACTGTAAATATAAACAAAACTGCCCCAGCACTAAACAAGGTTTGATAAATTGCTGTGCGTGGGGTACGTTTTTGTGTTTTTTAACCTCTTCGCTCAGTATTTCATGTATTTTATTACTAATAATATGATCTGCATATTCATAGAGGCAAACATGCGAAAACGTTTGCATCTGCTGTTCTATACACTTTGCACACACAATACAAACTGCACCTACTAAGCTTGGTGTATCCGAATAAATTTGCATGTGTTATGATGTACACAAACATTTTTAAGATGAGGCCATAAGTTAACTTGTTGTTCCTTAGGTAAAGGCATTAGAAGACGACAAAATTAGCAAGTTTAAAGATTTATACAAGTGTGTCATGGCCAAGATTGTACTTGGTAGATGACTGGATCAAAGTGTTTCTAAATTTACAGGCTTTGTAGGGTGTTGTTTCCTGTCTGCAACAGTCAAAAGTACAAGAAGAAAATAAAAGAATGAACAGTTGTGAATTGTTAACAGGGTCATGCATAGGGCAATGTTCTGCTTGGAAACCTTGGGTGTTGCCATCTGTATTGATGTTCCTTTAACACGTTCTACCTACTCAACCATAGCTGCACACCATGTACACCCTTAATGGAAACCTTATGCTCTGATGGCTGTGGCCACTTTCCACATGACAATACTCTGCTGTAAATCAAAAATGGTTTAGGAAATGTTTGCTTAGCACAACATGTTTGAGGTTTTGGCCTGGCCTTCAAGATTCCCTGATCTCAGCCAAATTGAGCATCTTTTAGAGGTGCTGGACACATACGAATCTGATCCATAGGGCCCCTAATCCAATGTTCAGGATTTAAAGGATCTTTGGCTAAAACTTTGATGCAAAATAACACAGCCCACCTTTAATAATCTAGGGGAATCCATGGCGTGATGAGTCAGAGTTGTATTTTGCATGGAAGGAGACATCAACATGCTAATAGTCAGGTGATCAAAATGTTTGGACTGATTAATATAAATGCTTTGCAATACACCCAAAAAGTACTCTGTTAACGCATTACATAAAAAGAAATACTTTCACGAAACAGCTAGCATCCCTCACCCTTAACATTTTGTAAGTTTTGTCCCATGCATCTCTACACTTTCATGTCTTCTTTATTACGCTGTACTTATATTATGAGCATTACTCTGGACAATTCCCCAGATCAACTCACCTCAAGCTGCTGGGCCTTAGGGCTTTTAGGGTCGCAGAGGGACGTGTTGATCCTGTGGTTGTGTTTGACACAGCGTTGAGTTGTGTTTTGGGGCATTGGGAACATCTGGCGAACTAGAGTTAGACGGCCTATTGACTTCATGACTAACTCCTGTAAGTCATAGTCTGCGATCTCCTGTAGGGGCGTAAATAGAAAAAAAAAATTCTTAGAACAATGTGGAGACAGGGTTAAAGTTCAGGAAAATGAGTGGGAAATACATGAAAACATTTTCCAATAACTGGTTTCACAAGGCATAGAAAATATAAAGGAAAAAGGCTGGAAAGAAATGACATTGGTGTATATCTGTGTGAGCTCATGCAATTGTTATGACCATGCATGTTTGCACGTCCTCAATATGTCCTTGCAAAACCTTGAGGGAGGACTCATTGCTAATTTTAGCCATAGGCGACAGAGTCTCCCAACCAAGCTTCATTCATGGATTCCCATCCATCCTCCGTGCAAGGGGGTCACATGATGACAAGATGAGAACTGACATTTATTGTCCCTGGTGGAGGTAACGCTGTCACCAACCGAGGCAGCCTTTGCTTTTTCTGTGTACATGTTTGATAATTCCTTGCCTCTGTGTCTGCTTGGGCATCCAGTGAGAGCTTGCTGGTTTGTGTAAAACTGAGTCCACATCAATTTTATGGGGTTGTTTTGCAACTGTTTGATCATGCAAAACATCTTTGAGACTCTTTCATTTCCACATGGCGGCACTGTTGACGGGATGGATACTATGTACGAGTTATAACTGAGACTGCATATACATGAACAAGTTATCATAAACCCTTTATATGTGGAGCTACGGTATATCATTAAAGGAATCACACCTCGTTGACTAATCAGTGGATTTTAACTGAAGTAACTAACATTCAGTAGGACCTGTGAGTCATTGTAGTATGATCAATATTAATGAAAGTATTTTTTGCCAGCATTTTGCAACCAGTCTGATATGTAATAATTAGGCTCTTCTATAGTCTTTCCCAGCTATGATACACAATAGTTTCTTATACAAATGAAATGCTATAAATTATGTAACCATATGAATTTTTAATAGCAAAACAGGTTTTGCTATAAAATATTCTTTAAATTTCTCTAAAAATTAAAAGGAATCAGAAATACCATTGATAAAAAAAGGTTTAAAAAAGAGCTATGATTCAGCCTTGAGGAATCTATTTGTTGCTTTTTTGCTTGATATGTGGCAAAACTCCAAAACAGTTGTCTCTATAAATGTTCAGGAAGGAGTTTAGTAACAAAGCCATCAAAAAAAAAGAAAACTAAAAGATTTAGAGCTGAGAGAGAAAATGCTTAACCCTTCTAAAAAGCCTGAATTGGAGGCCAAAAGAGAATTAAGATTCACTGCAGGCAGTCAAGGGCATTCAAAGAAAAATCTGCTAGCAAAAATGATCCCGACATCTTCACTCATGGATCTAAACTCAAAGAAATATAGACGCAGCACTGCAAAGGAATATTAAAGACCTGTGAATGTAAACAGAAACACTGGGAAACTAACATTTTTAATTTTGTCCACTAATCAATTATCTTCCACTGTCATGTTTTATTTTCGGTCTGCATTTCTCTGTGGACAGATTAAGCAGTCACCCCCCAGTATGATATCAGTGCCCTGATGTTAGCTCTTCAACAGCTAAGCTTAAATGAAAAGCACAGGACACAACCACAGACTCATTATAAGCAAGCATTATTTGTACCGAGTCAGCATCCAGCCTTACTCACTCTTTAGTACGCCTTACCTGTCCTATTTGATCTCTACCGTCAGCAGATTAATATTCAACAAAATTTTTTAAAGACATTAAAGTCTTGTTTAATATTCCTAAAATGTACAAAATGGACACCCTCTTTTCATCCCCCCATCTGTCATCGTCTGCTTATCCAAGACAAGGTTGCAGGGATAACCCCAGACATTGTTCCTCTCAGGAACACACTGCCGCTCATTCTCAGGAATTCCCAGGGCCAGAAGGGATCAATGGTTTCTCTAGCAATTTCTGGCCACTTCTCCCTTTGGTGAGCACCAACAAAGCCAACAAATAGTGAATCCTAGGAGGCATCCTGATTAGATATTGTAGCCACTTCATCTAAATCTTTTTGACAATAATAGTAGTTCCTCTATGTCTAGTTACTTCCCTCTCCTGTTTCTAATCAAGGTTGGACTTGATTAGAATTTGAACATATCTATTCCTATTTTGAATCCTCATTTTGATTCTGTTTCCTATCAAATTTCAATTCAAATTATCTTTAAGGCGGAAGGGTATTAAAACGTTTACATTTTAAATGAACAGGAGTTTGGCCTTGATGAAATACTTTGAACTTCTCAATGAAATTTAATTCCTTGAACATTTTTGTGTAAGCATTACCATAAATGATCAGAGTAATTATTAACCAGTTTATAAATATCATACCTATGAAATCCAATATGAATCTCATAAAAAAATGTTTTATTTATATCAAGTGCCTGATGCTGCAGGTATCAATGCGGTGAATTTTATCATTAATTGTATTTGATCATTTTATTACCTGATTCTGACTGCAATGCTAGGCTGATTGTCAGAGGTGAAGGAAAAAGCAGAGCAGCAGGAAGGTTTCCCAACAGAATCTATAAACTCAGCATTGTTTGCTGCAGCTCAATTCCACTCAATTACATATGAAAGTAGGGATTTTTTTATTTTTGTGGACAGTGGAACAGGGCACTTTCATACTCCGTAATTCAGTTCGAATATTTTAGTGTGTGAAACAGATTCAAATAAAGGTTACACTTACAGTAAAGGGACACTGTACAACAAATTTGGCTTTTATTAGCAAAAATCAAGAATTGCTCTAATAAATACATATTCTGTGAGGGTCTAATATCATCACTTTAGAAATGAAAACAAAGTTATAGCTTAAAATTAGAGGTTCAGAAACACAGAATGTGATACAACCAATGTGAGATGCCATGTTGCATCGGCACTTTAAAATAGAGTAGCTAAAAGCTGACAAACTTGCTTTTTTTCATGTAATTAAAGATGTGTTGTGATCTACAGGTTTTGCTTAAAAACAAGCAAGAACTGTAGATCATTTTACCTTCTACCACAGTACTTGTTGCATAAGGATCATCTGTTCTGTCTATAAAGTAAGAGTAGACAGAGTTAAGGCAAGAGAAACAAGCTCTGTTGAGTTCTCATGGACAAGTAAGCATGGTGTTTTAGTGTGGTTTGACAACTAGATCAATGATTTATTGAGATCAAACAGGAAGATATTGGTCAAATGGATGTTTAAAAATCGGGTATCAAGATAGAGAAACCGTGCTAAAATAAAATTACAGAATACATTCAGCGAGGATGCACCTGTCAGATGCTGATAAAGAGGGGCCTGCATCTGCAAAATGTTGGCAAATGCTTCAAAAAATATCAAGCCAACAGGGATGCTAAACTGTAGGAGATAAGTTCTGAAATCAAGTCTCTAATCAAAAGATTTTCATGCACTACAGTATAGAGTCACCAATGCGTAGCAACGCATAGGCGCCTTGAAGGATGTCATTAGAAAAGAGAATATGCGGATCCAATAACTATACTGGAAAGTTTCATCACTCTGCTAACAGGTAGACGACCTAGAATCAAGCATCAAAGAAACATTATCAGAATTTTAGGTCAGAAATAAGGAAGTGAAGTGGATTAGTTAATGGGTCTACTAGGTCGTTTATTTCAACATGTGTTGGGAGAGAATAAGGAGAAATTCACCTCTGCATTTAACCCTTCCCCTCGGGGAGCAGTAGGCTGCCACTGTGCGTTGCCTGGGGAGCAATGTGGGGTTAAGGGTCTTGCTCAGGTACTATGCAACCTTCTTAGAGCACAACCACACTGCTCTAACAACTAGGCAATTACCTTCCCAAATTATGAATGCAACCATGTAGTGAGATCTTTGCTGATTGGCTCAAGTTTTAAAGTATTATTTTACTTCAAAGTTCTGGATGTGACACAGCAATGCTTTAAAAAATATATTTCTAAAGAAGAATATCTTTACTGCATTTCTTGCATTATATAATCATATTGCTAGTAATTACTAGAAACTAGTAATCTAAAGAAAATGAATAAAGTAACAATTCCCGGAGGATTGTTAATTTAGAACCGGTTAGAAACGGTTACAATCCATTCTCAATTATCTGTGCCAAATCCTAATTCTAAAAATGTCTACAGAATAAGGCTGCTTTTTAATTTTATTTTGGTGAATGATAATGGCCCCTCTATTGAGATGCAGAGAAACGGTTTTTTATGGTCACACATCTTGTGGCTTAAGTCAACAAGAGCTTAATATGTACTTATTGAAAACTATCTGCTTTTTAGGTGAACCATACAGCACATTATGTTCATGAGCCATTCTGAGGTTGCAGAACCTTTGTGCAGAACCTGTAGTTGTGATCAAATATCTGTTGCTGTCAAGAAGCAAGGAAAGAAGGGAGTGCAGTTTGTTGAATATAATTGGTGAGTGAGTAGTAGTAAACACTACGGCACAAATCTAAAGGAAAACAATACCGTTTTAACCTCTGAAAAAAAAAAAAAAGCATTCCCAGAAACATCTAAATATGACCTCAGTCTTCACTCTCAAAAGGCATTAAATCCTAGTCTTTGGTGCAGTATTTGAAGATGACAGTCAAAAGAAAAATCCACACATCTGCTTAGTCCAGTGTTTTTGATGCATTAACCCAAACCATCTGCTTTTTTAAGTAAAAGACACTAAAAATGAAATTAAATTAATTTAAAATATTAGCAACACAATGACATGAAATTTTCAAGTACTAGTTAATGATTTAGTTTTCTCCTAAACTGTTACTCAAAATGAGTCTGCATGATAACAAGAAAGATGATAAATGACTGAAGGCCAAAATTTTTTTATTTTGATGAAAAGAATGATTAAGTAAGGTCAATAATGAAATTATCCTCTAAACTTAAGAGAATGATAGGAAGCAAGTTAAGCTGTGAGCATCTCTTATTATTTCTTGTCTTCCTAACTTCCCAGCCTCTGATCCTCAGAGAGGAGAATATGATGGGTGATGGAAGGATGATCAATTATAAGCTGTGAACTACGTTTAGTGGTGCTGGCGGACTGTTGGCTGTAGATAAAGCTGAGTTATGAAAACCATACAGTATCCTCTCATGCATGATAATCTATAAGGAAAGAACATTCTTTTACACATTGGAATACTCATTTCTTTAAAGAAATACTGGAGGAAGAATGTATTCCAACCTTCTCCTGTCATCAGTGGTTTACACATTCATGTGGTACAACCTATCATGATTGGTTCATTTTTGTTATTGTTTAAATAAAACCCTTAGTATAATCCTTAGTATCCATTTAAAATAGTGCAGCCTCAAATTAGGTGCACTTTGGGGTTTTACTTGTGTTGATGTCATTTTCTTCTGTGATTCTTTTCCACTTTTCTTGGTCATGCATTTACTGTATTGGGCATTTTGGTGTAGTAATCACAGACTGCTAATTGCCCAGTAAAGGGACTGGAGGAGAGTAAAGAACCAGGTCACTTGTGTGTCTTTCCTGGTTGGGATTCTGCACACCGCTACCTGTAATATTTTTCTGAATTCACTGCGCAACAAAGTATTTTCTGTCTAACCTGACACTACAGTTAACAGACTTCCAACTATTCAGAGCAGACTGCAATAGAACTCTTTAGCAAAAAAAGGGTGAAGGTATTTGATTTTCATAAACGGAAGCTGGCGTACCAATGTGACCTTGATTCAGCAATACTGCTTTCCTAATACAAAATATCTTTTGTAAACACCCTGCACAAGTTTGCTTCTGCCACAGTGGTAGCCAGTTACATTTCACCACTGGCCAATATGTCTGACATACAGCATATGCTGGTCGACCAGCAGTGTCCATAAAGACTGTCCAATGAGGGAACTTTGGATCACTGCTGGAAAACAAAAGACAGTGCCCTTAGAGAGGTTAAAAGACTAGGGCCAATGTTATTCCTCAACTAAGCATCAGGCCAGAAAACCAATGACAACATGATTACTCCAAACTCATAGCCCTGACCTCTGTGGTGCTAAAGTCCTAAACATCTTGTATTTTTCCACTACAGCAACCACAGATCCATTCTGGATCCCCTCTATTGCTCCTAAAGAGCAAACAGATCTGCAGAAAATAAAGTAAACATGACTTCTCAAAATATTCTGCAACAGTTGGGTTCCCCAAGAATCTATGCCAGGGTCCTGTTTATAGACTTCAGCCCTATAAACATCATACCCATCTGCAGGACAGGCTCTCCCAACTCAACATACTCAACCCAACCTACAGTCAGATCAAATACCTCTTTATAAACAGAAAAATGCACAAGGTGCTGAAGACAAAAGCTCACAGAATGCCCACACAATGCAATAATCTACCCTCTGCTCTTCTACCTATATCATAACAGGATAAGTCTCCCTAAATGTGGGAGATCTAGTGACCTGATGCAGACAGAACAGTTTGGAGCTCTCTATTCGCCAATATAAACTTCTTCCACTTCCTGGGAACCATCATTGCTCAGGAACTCAAGCGATAATTGAACATCATGCCCCTTACCAAGAAGCCACAGCAGATGCACCCTCTTTGGCAGCTAAAGACGTTCTGTCTGCCAAAGACAATAACAGTGCACTTCTACTCTACCATCAGGGGTGTCTTAAAACAGGTGCAAATATCTTTCTTTGCACAGAGCAGATCTTCAGATATGATGAAGCCAAAACTGAGCAGATTCATCACTTGAGGATATGAAAATGTGTGAAGCAGTTTTCTAAATCAGAAACTCAACCACAGTTTCCTCATCTTTTTAAGTACTTCTGAAAGTCCTGAAAAAAAGTGACACACACAAATTTGGAGAGAGATTCTGTGCGCATGTTAACATATGGCTTTTGTATTTCCTTTGTGGCTTTTGTTATTGTGTTGTGGCTTTTTATTTCTGTTGCTGCCTTTGTTTGTGATGTGGCTTTTCTATTTCTGTTATGACTTCTATTTTTGTGTTGTGGCTTTTGTTTTTGACCTGCACCTCTGGGACACCGTAACTTTGAGATAGGTAACCTATGTGTCCTTTGTGTTATATTTAAACAAAGCAACAAACAAACGAAATGTATTGTCAAGAATGTGTCACTCCTAGTAATACAGTATTTAAGTTTGTAATTAATTTTGCACTCAGTTTTGACCATCATTTTCCCTTTTTTTTTTTTTAAACATTCTTATGCATTCCCAACTTTTTGCTTGACTCTTCTTTTAGTCCTCATATTTTCCAGCTCCAATTTTGTTCCATTATCTATGATTCTCTCACTTTAACTCTGTTTACAGTCCTTACAGTCTGTGGTTTTCTTGTCTCTTCTCATCTATCAGTCTTACATTTTTCTGAAACAGTCATAATATAACCAGGCTTCATTTGCATGGTAGGGCCTGGTGGTTAACAACACATAGACTTCTTCATTAAGGGCTTGATATTGTTATCTAGCAAAGGATGAGCATGAACACATTAAATCATGTTTGTCTTATGAAGGGAGTGTCGGCCTAGTGGTTAGAGCAGTGCGCTTGTGCTTTGAAAAGGTTGCAAGTACCTGGTTCGATCCCCAGAGCATGCACTCTGGATCCCCGAGCAAGAACCTTACCCCCATACTGCTTCGCTGGTGGCGTATAGTGGCAGCCCACTGCTCCCCAAGATGTAAGATGCAGAATTGAATTTCTCCAGTGTGATATTAGTAAAGTTCAGTTATTATTATTATCTATTTTGAGAAGCAGATGGAAGACAATTAAAAGTAATTAACACTTAATAAATAAAGAAAGCTACTTATAAAAAAAATGTTTTCCAAATCGGCCATTTTTTTTTATGAAGGTGCAGGACCCAGGATTCCTCTGTTCTCCCTTATTAGCATTTTACCAAGAACTCAGGGGAAAATGTGACTGTTTCATCCAGAAAACATTTACAATATATTTGTGGGGGTGGGGGTGTCTGTACACAATGTAAATCTTCATTTTGCAGGGCTGACATTTCATTTGCATGGTTGCATGTGATTCTTTCAGCAATGATGAATGTCACACATACTAACACTTGTTTATAACAGAAATACTTGGCATAACTGTGGAAGTAATAGGACCACTGAGCCTTGTGGCATTTCAGAGAATGATTATCGTTACAGGCTCTGACTTGAAAATAGAACAGAGAGGTGAAAGCTGAGGCATAGTGGGGGATGTGCCTAGCTTTTCTTGTATTTTACCAAATTAGGCTTTCACTATTCCAACTGTAAATGTTTTTTTTTTTTTTTTTGCTGTTTTTTTATTACGTCTTGTGGCATACATGTTTTTACAAGCATGTGATTTTGGTTGCATATACTGCATTTGGTGTCATATCAGTATTACTGTGATGCTTAGGTCTTTAAAAAAGTGCATTGTCAAGGAATGCAAAAATATATGGCTCTTTACTTCAAAGCTTATTAAACCACTTTTTTTTCAATCAAAGAATATTTTAAGCTTATTTAAAATCAATAAGAGGTTAAAGCCAGCAAAAATAATGTGATTAACCTTTTGAAATATGTAGTGAGAGTAAATGTGGTATAACACTGAACTAAAGCTTTACTGATAATAATTACAAAAATAATAATTATATATTTAAGTCAAAAAATTATTTTGTTATGGAAATATTTCTAATAGCAAAGTGCTCAATGTTTTTCCTTTTATCTACAGTCATTAAGAAGCTTCTTGCTGTCTCTTGCTTACTGGTTGCTTCTTTTAATGTCTAATTTCTCTGTACTTATGCTCTTTAAAGTGTGCATGGGTATTTTTGTGTAAAAGCAATTAAGTTAAAGCTAAAGCAAAGAAAGTATAATTATTTGGTTATTTTTCAGATATTATAAATATGTGCTAACCGTGATGCACCAGTCTGTTGTGGTGAAGATAGAGTTGAGCCAAAAGAAAAGCTCTCGATTTACCAGTCTGTCAAGTTCCTAACCTCACCTATGATAATTAAACCCAGATTATAACCAAAAGAAAGACATGCCGGATATAAAAGGTTGAAATGGGCTTTTTTCACAGGGAAGCTGGGTACTCCCTTAGAGATGGGTTGGCACCTGCCAGGCCCCTGGAGTAGGTGCCACACAGCCCACCACTAAACTTAGTGATCTGCCAAGGCACCTGCCACCAATTTTCATGACCTGCCACAGCAACGAAGCAGGTGCCAGACAACCTGCCACTAATTTCCATGACCTGCAATGGCAACGAAGAGCAGGCAGTGGCCCCTGCCACAGATTTTCATGACATACTGCAGCACTGAGACGGGTGCCAGATTCCCGGCCACTGATATTATTGACCTTGTTTCACGTACTGTATTTTCAGGACAACAAGCTGCTACTTTTTTCCCATGCTTGGAACCATGCAGCTTATGAAGGCGAGGCTTTTCTGTGGATTTTTCTTGACTTTTTGACTAAACTCATCTTTCAATAGAAGCTCTCTTCGCAAGCCAAAAAGCTAAAGGGACCTAGCATTCTGTCTATTCCCTTCTCTAGGGTTTATATTTAGAGCTCCACCAAACAGGTTTGGTGGGAGACAGTTCAGTAGATATCAGTGGCATATAGCCCGGTGTGGCTTATATATGTACGTTATCAGTTTGTGAGTGCAGCTTATAGTGAGATCCACTCAATATTCCAGAAAATACGATTTTTTGCATATGTGCTCTTCCCTTTTTATTTTCTAAATTATTGTTATTCCATTCGTCAAATAAAACATACACATGGGAAATGTGTCTATGCATCTATTTGAATATAAATGCAAAGGAAAATAGGCTACAGCAAAGTTATAAGTAATTTCCTTTTAAAGCATTTTGATTAATCTTGTGGTGCCATGGAAATAAACTTGCTATGCCTACTTTAAGTGTTATCCTTGACAATAGGGGACAATAAGGAGAACAAGATATACATTGATTATCTTCTAACAATACCCACCTCATTAATCAAGATCCAGTGACAATCAAATGCAACCAGGTTGGTCTCCACCACCTGCAATACAAAACACAAACATTAAATACAGAATGAAGGAAGGAACTCAAAGAGGACTAGCTGAATCCAAAACAAGTTGGGTTTTTGTTGGTTAAATGTGTTAAATAACATCATCTTAAACGTTTATACCAAGAATATTCTGTGTAGCCTTCAATAAGCATTGAGCATCATCTAATTGTAACCGAAACACCGCAAAATCACTGCAATCCCTTAACATGGGAATGCAGTCTCAACAAATTTTGTTTGACCCAGGCAATGTTTTTGTTTGTTTGTTTTTTTCAGATAGACAAATACATGTAACAACATTAGGCAAAGTTTTTTTCTCAAATGTTCTATGCAAATAAAACTGCCTTGTGTTAAAGAGCTGATTGTAGGTTAGAGCCTCCCCTTTATCACTGTTTACAAGAAATATATAAGGGAATCATTTTTTTAATTAAAACATACTCATAAATGAACTATTTAGGCTTTTTGGGATGTTTTTATAAGAACATTTTTTTTCTGTATCTGACCAGGTACAGTACTGGAAGTGAAATAACATGGGTGACTCAGCTTAGCTTTACAGTGGTAAAAAATAGATACTAATGCAACAAGGACAAAGAAACTTTAAATGCGTACCACTAAACATGTGGTGAACCACGACCCTATAACTATGAGCCCGTTGCTCAAGAGAGCAAAGAAAGATCAGGGGAAGAATTAATGGCCAAAGGAGACAGATTGAGTTGTGGTGTAAGAGCAGTCAGTGCAGTTAATAGAGGCACTTACACTGTTTTTTCTGAACCACAGATGTCAATCTGAGAAATTTTGAGAGTTGATCTTTTTTAGAATTTGAAAACAGATCATGACCTATAATCTTGGGAGGTAAGCATTGAGAAACACCAGTTGCCAATGTGGCAACTTTCCCTGCTTTTTGCGTTCCGCCAAAGAGAATAGATACGGTTCTCTTCTTTTTATTTAATGTTTCCTCAGCATTCATATCGATAAGGATCACAGTTCTCAATCAGCCATCTACTATCAAGTGGGTGGGTGATCTGCTGTCTACAGAGCCTTTTGCTCCAATAAGATTTTTGATTGGGACCAGAACACAGGTGGTATCTCAGTCCCTTTGATGGAACAAGTTTCACTACCAAACTCTATTACACGTCCGTTATACCTGATAACTATCTACTGTCCACACAGAACTGAAGTATCTCAGACTATTTGGCACACCCACGTGACGTCAAATGAAGCAAAGCAGTTTTTAAAGACAACACTGAGTAAGTTGACTTTTATTGGTCAATTTATTTCACAATGGTGCTTTCAGGCCGAGCACGGTATCTGCAGTGATTTCCGCCAGCACCAAGGGGAATTCACTGCATTTAATATGGTAATTTGTAAAAATGAATACATGAAAATAATAATGAAAAAAGATCATGTGTGCTACTGTTGTTTCTGAGATATGAAATATATTGTTTTACGTGACCCAGAGGTCAACTATCCCCCATTAAGCTCCGAATTAATAAATTTTTTTTTAAGATAGAATCATTTTTAATTACCCCTATGATGTCACCATTCCAACAGAGGTTAGTGCTGTACTCATTTACTTTGATCAAGTTTTTGCATAACATCACATGTAATTCCGGTGCTGGTACTGAATATAACAACGGGCATGTTTACCTTATTTAGAGGTTGGGGGGCATCTATTTTTGGAAAATCTCCAAAACCTCTGGAAAGCAAATTCCACTCTAGTTCCTCCAGAGGTGCTTCTGGATAACTGTTGGATTCTGTGGTAGTTCTTTGTAAAATATACACCAGCAGAAAGCAAAGATGCTGGGCAGTGGGCAGTGACAGACGGCCTGTGCTGGCGGTAAGGGAGGACGACAAGAGGTGCTTCTCGGGCTACATTAAAACTGCTTTTTTTGTCAGCCACCTACAGTAAAAACCTCTTGAGAGCATTCCCTATGTTTACCTTTGTTAACAGTATTTATCTATGTATTCCATTTTAAAAAAAAAAAAAAAAAAAAAAAGCTTCACGCAATCCCTGGTTGGTTTCTATGTCACAATTTCACAGAAAAGTTCATCTTGTTTGAACTTCCGTGATCATCGCTCCGCTCTCTCCATGCAGTGCTGGTGTTTGACAACACCTCAGTTCTATCTAGTACCATGAGGTTAGGGTGGAGCAGTGATTACCCTTGCTGCTTGGAATTCATCACTGGCCGCTGTAACACATGGTTTGTTTAGGAATTCTATGTGAATGCCCGGCATATGCCGCGGCCAACGTGTCCGTTCTGATTACACCATTATAGTGGCCAAAACACTTTAAATCCTAAACGTTTTAAATACAGTGATCCAATATCTAATGGTCCATTAGATAATGCTCAGTTTGCATTTTGTCAAAAATATAGTTTCTTGCAGTTTCTTTATCAAACACTTAATAAATTTAAGAATAGAGATGGTAAGAATGACTGCAAATATCAAAGCATATGCCTCAACGTTAGAGAATTGAGGTTAAAGTAACACTGACTATACCTTTGTATCCAACAGGGTAAACTTCTGCAGAAACTACAAATTTAATGCAAACCCTCCCCCTTCTTGTTTCTGGTTTCAAGGAATGGTGCAGAAATATCCAGTGAACACCCTTTTGTATTCAATAATTTGAAGACTTGTTTTTAGCAGATTAAAAAAGGCAACTGTCAGCTAAAAAGGCTTTCCTTAGTACTGAGATAACAAAAAATGTCTTATCTAAATGCACCACATGTTGAAGTGCTGTATGAATTAGATAGAAGACATTTTGTGAGAAAAACACTGGTAACCAGGGGCATATTTCAGGTTTTTTTTTTTTTTTTTAGTGTTGCTTGCTTTAATGAAACTCAGGTGCATCTATGACCTCCTGATGGTCTGAATTTCTAAAAAAAAAAAATAATGCAACTATAGCTAAATCTATTACAATTTTTTTGTTAAACTGCCCCCTTAGATCCAAAAGTTTACCATTTATACCAAAGTATAATACCTAATGCTTTTAGCTATGTGATACATCATTAATATCTACATATCAGTTTCTTGTTACAGAACCAATGATAGGAGGAAAATATTCCACATTTCCTATTATGACAAAACCACTGGCAGCCATCCAGAGAGATTATTTATGATTATTAGTGCAGAAGGAGATTTTTATTTTTTTTTTTTACATGACTCCTCAGATGTCATGTCTATTCAATACACCCTCTGTTTATGATTCAAGCATGCATTCCCTCGTATGGATATATAGCTTTTCTGAAATTCTGGTGCAAAGCTTACCAAAGCAATGTTAACAACTCATACCAATATAGCAGGTATGCAGGAATCATGTGGGCAACACACTCTTACTTTTAGGGCTGAGAAGAAATTCTTCCGACATCCCAGACTAGGTCTGCAGGAGTTTTATTTATTTATTTATTTTTTCATTCTGGTTTGTTCTCTAAATTCAGGAGACTGAATAAAATCAACTTTGTTGTATAGGACATTTCAAGTCTCAGTTTTTGAATACCAGTAAGCCTTTAGTTAAAGTCTAAAAGTAGCCGGATTATTATGGCAGCTTTGCAATGTAACAGCACTGAACACACCAGCCTCACAGGTGTTTTATTGAGTGACGGCCATGACGCAACCAAACACCATTCTGTTAATAACTTGACCTCCCTCCACCTGTCACCTTTGGAGTAATTCATCAAAGAAAATGAGGTCTTCTTCCAAACCACTATAGTTAGCTTGTCATAATTTGTACAGTCAAAACAAAAGTGTTTCACCAAATGCTACACTATTAGACTTGTCAATTCTTGTGATTTACACTTAATTTAATAGTTTCACATTGACAATTTGCAATGCTGTGATTCAGTGTGATAAGTGGAAGTTTCGGCACTGTGTAATGTTACATAGGTGAAAAAGTGTCAACAATGTGGAAGGATAGTGAAATAATGTGTAGTACTGTAAGTTGCACTTCATGCTCACACTATATCCAACTATTTTCAATATGATCAGCAACATTGTGTGTAATACAGCAACTGACCTGGCAGCTATGGTCCCTTTATAAAAGCTGATACCCCTGGAAACAAGGTCCAAACTTCATTATGATGATCTGATACTCTATCTTTGTTGTTTTGGTCCTGTATATTAGATCCCCACTCCAAACATATTGTGTTAATTAAGAGGGTTCAGAATCAGAAACCTGCCCAAGGTCACTTGAACAGCTTGTTGTGCTACAGCAGAAAGCAATCTAAAACAACAGGTGGGGATTTTGAATTTATAACAGCACCCTGCATGAAGCATGCTTGGAATAAAATATTTTTAGTTTATAATGTTCTGAAGTGCCCAATCGCTGTAAATTTAGAGCTACTGTATTAATTTGACCACTAGGTGCCTTTGTCTAAAGTAATACAACCAATGATCAAACCAAAGTGACTGAATATTTATACTGCCCCACTGCTATCAAAGTAGTCTGATATAAAAATGGATCAGCCTTCATAAATTAAATAAATGGTTAAAGCTTTACGCAGTAAGATATTGTTTGTCAGCTTTACCAAGCTTCATAAATCTCTGCTTACATCCCACAGCATTATAGAACTTCTGGTGCTAAATCTACCACAGCATTGACACAAAGCAAAGCTAAAGTTGAATAGTAAGGCCATTATAGATGAAAAAAGGGAAGAGTACCTTTTTTTCCAATAGACCTAGAAATTTTAAGATACATAAAAAGAAATCTCTGATCTTGAAAAGTAAAAATCTGACAATTTACATAGTCCTTTAGAAAATTGGAAATTTCTGATGCTAGAAATATCTTTTCATTTGTGAGAATAAACATGGAAATTTCATAGTTAAACTAAAATAAAAAAAAAAAAAGCCTTTTCAAGCAATTTTAACAAGGGTTAAGAACACTTTGGGATAAAATTAAGCAGGAGTCATTAGGCTTCATGCAGCATTTTCGAATTCTTGTCGTCAATTTATCTCACTTTTTCTAATACCATGGGCTTTTACATATGTGACATGTCAGA